TTATTAGGAATATTTGTTCAGGATCGCAGAAAAAGCATATGAAACGTGCATGTACACGACTCCTATATCCGTGGAAACACGGCTTCCACACGTGAAAAGAACTTCTCTTTTACTTTTTATCTCTCTTTACACTGGAACGAAATCGAATGCACAAGAGCAAATCGTAGTTAAGCACCATATTCAACACTTCTTGTCATATGTTAAATGTTTTTTTGCTAGATAATGAATTATAAACCAAAATTTCCGTTAAATCACGGGCGGCACACGCAGTCAATCACTCACTTCAACGATTAAGGGTCAAAGCACAAAGCAACGTAATAGCTTACGATAAAGACGCAAGCGTAAACGTAGATAACGCACAAGCTTTGGCGTAAATGTAACGTCATATGTAATTGGAGATAAGTATGAGATACGCCAAAGCTTGTGCGCTAATCTACGTTTACACTTACGTCTTTTTCGTAAGCTATTATGGTGCTGTGTGCTCTAATTCTACACACGAAACGTTGCGATCACACGACACGCACGAGCCTGTCAACACCGGTCGTTGCTAACCGTTCGCAAAAAACAATTGTAGACGTGTTCCGAAACTAACATCGATAGGGTCACATAAGCAGTGATGCCATACTTTGATGCCAACGGACATTGCAAAGGAAGCGAACAATCTGGATCCATCAGAGATCCTGGGCCTCTATTCCACGATTACCGACGACCATCGATATCGTTAACGACGTTGGCGCAACTTTTCTATCATGTAAAAAAAAGCTGCGCAAACGTCGTTAACGATATCGATGGTCGTCGGTAACCGTGTGCGAAATAGAGCCCCAGTAGCGCGATTCTGTAACTCGTTATGTCGTCGTTACGGGCTTTGCGCAGATCTAATATACCGTAGAAAAGCTGCGCAAAGCCCGTAACGACGACATAACGAGTTACAGAATCGCGCTACTGAAGAGATATCGGATAAAGACGTGACGACGACGTCGACGACGACGACGACGACGACGACGACGTCGACGACAACGGTTTCGCCGATTCAGACTGACACTCACGTGGATGAGACTTCGAGTAGAAAGTCAAAAGTCCTGCTTACCTCATCGACGCCTACGGTAACGGAGAACGGGAAACGCATGTCCGGCGAGAGATCGCCGGAAGTCAGAGCGCGTAATTTATCGGACAAGTCGAAAGACAAGGACGATGTGTTGCCGATCACGCATCTGTACAACACGTCGGATATCTTCAACGGCAGCCGGTCGATGGACGGGTTAGCTCGCGGCACAGAACGACCGCGGGCAGAGAGAAACCTGAGAAAGTGAGAACAAGTGAAAGCGGCCATGCCTTTGTGTTTAGTTGAAACCGATTTTCGCCATCAAAAGTGGATGTAAGAACTACGGAGACACATCTACTTATCGACACGGTCGATAAATATTACTTTTTGGTGCGTGTCCGTGCTAAATTCGCTTTTCGATATTGTAAATAAATCACTTTTTGGTCCGTGTCCGTGCTACATCCACTTTCCGACACTGTCAATAAATCGCTTTTTGCCGTATGTCTATGCTATATCCACAATTTATGGATGTTAAGACAATGTTGAAAAGTGGATGTAGCACGGACATGCACCAAAAAGTGATATTTATCGACCGTGTCGATAAATAGATCATGTGTCTCCGTAGTTCTTACATCCACTTTTGACATAGAGCTATGACTTTTGATGGCGAAAATCGGTCCCAACTAAACACAAAGGCGTGGCCCCTCTCAGATTTCTCTCTGGTGTCGATAAAGGCGTTTAGGCACAAGCGCAATGCGATCTATGGAGATTTGAAATATATATAAAGTAACTATTAATGTAACTGTTAAATTAGTTACTAGTTACCAAAAAAATGTAACTAAGTTAAGTTACAGTTACAGATGGAGAGAAAGTAACGAAGTTAAGTTAGAGTTACCGAAAAAAAGTAACTGTAACTGTAACTTCGTTACAAGTAACGAGTTACTTCCCAACCCTGAATATAGCACATTCTTTTAGTACACGATGTTGGTAGTAATGTATTTCACTATCAGAAAGCTAGTAACTAGTACGGAAAAATGGTGTTACCTCCTGTGGACTCCACGATTTCTCTCTTTCGGAAAACCATAAGTAAAATACTTTTTCTTCTCTTAGAAACTAATTTTAGAAATCAGCGGATATAGACTAGCTAACGCACGAGTCGTTTCCCCACAAAATTTTTTGTCAAAGTTTCACTTTTCGCAACTCGAAACGACTTAGTTTACATTGTTGCTAGTCGATAGCCGTTGAGAGATTGTTTGGGAATGCGCTAGGTTGATTTAATTTTAATCGGGAGTGGAGGGGAGGAAGGGACTTGACTGTAAAACTACCGTTGAGAACCACGTAAACTTTATTACACTTAACAGCTGAGTTTGAGGTCGGAACGGTGGCGTAAAATGAAACGGAACGGTCGGAAATCTTCACGCTTGATCGTCACAGCTGCGCGCGAACCGCGACGGAAATCTTCTTCTGGAACTCGATGTGAGTTCCTAACACGACGGAAATCTTGTCGCGACGGAGATATCGTGAACTCGCAGCGATCAAGCTCCGCTCGCGAACGCGCGATCCACCGTTCCCTCGATATATTGTCTGGCTGAGCCTTCGGTCAAAGGAGAAGTCGGATCACGTGGCTGGTACGTGCTGAACTCACGGCCGAAAAGAGTCGCGACGTCGACAATAATTCGCGAGGCGGACCGATAATACCGCTGGCGCGATCCGGTACAATACTTGCCGATGATCGGCGGAAAGGAGTCTCTGTCGAGGCTCAACGAAGTTTATCTTCAACGCGACGTTCGAATCTCACTAACTAGAAGGTATGCGTCGTCACCAAAGGCCGGATTCAGACTTTTAGCCTAAAGGATCTATCGGCACGGATCCGCTTAAACGGGGGGTGCGCGACAGATCCAAATTGGCACACAGCGCACTCGAGCAACGAAGACGGCCGCGAATGAGAAGTATTGAGGTGCGTGACAAGAACCGAAAGCGCGCGGTTTAACGCGTCTCGGAGGCGTTCCAGATTTTTTTTTGTATGTTCCGAAACATACCGCCCGTCTCGAATGGTATCATTCGAAACAACAACCGTTCTCGATCGCTTGGAAAGGAACGAAAAGGAAAAGGGAACTTTAACTTGTACAAAGAATGGCGCAATACAATAAATTTTGAACATTAGTATATACGTTTAGTCGGACGCAGTGCCGCCCGCCGTGGCGGAACTTTGATCGGTTTCGTTGTTGATATCGATTGGTAAAAAACACAATTTGACAATTGGACGCTTATACTGCGAACGCGCGGTGCGGACGGTAACGACTCGAGTTAGCCCATCGTCGCCGGGATGACATTCGGAAATGCGTCCGAGCTCCCAGTGACACGGGGGCGCAACTGCGTTTCGCAAAAGAACGATTCGACCTACGGTCGCGAGGCGTTGTGCGACTCTCCATTTTGGCCGCTGCTGCAACGTCTATAAATAATCGTTTGACCAAGATTTCCAAAATTTTTCGGTAATGTGTTGCCAGCGGGAAAGGCGAGTTTCGTTATGATCGAGAACGCTCGGCTGTGGCGCAGCCAGAATTGGTCCTCCGATTAAGAAGTGTCCTGGCGTTAGCGCATTATAATCATCGAAATTGTCGGACACGGAGCCAAGAGGACGAGAATTCAAACAGGATTCGATACGACAAAGAACTGTGGTTAGTTCTTCGAATGTCAGTGTGTGTGACCCGATACAGCGTCTTAAATGGTACTTGACGCTGCGTACGGCAGCTTCCCATAGTCCACCGAAGTGTGGAGCGGAAGGTGGTACAAAATGCCATGTTACGGCGTCGGTCGAAAGCGCGTTTTGGAAGTCCGAATTTTCGAGAGCCTTCGCAATTGCGATTCTAAGTTCTCGATCGGCACTTTGGAACGTAGTTCCATTATCTGAATAAATCGACGAAGGATATCCGCGGCGGGACACGAAGCGATGTAATGTAGCGATAAAAGCGTCTGACGAGTAATCGCTGACGAGCTCGAGGTGGATCGCCTTTGTCGTCATACAGACGAACACGGAAATATAGGCTTTGTGTGCCTTATGGCCTCGTCCACGAGAGGTACGCACGAGGATAGGACCGGCATAATCGACACCGGTATGTTCGAACGCTCGATTTGAGCGATTTACTCTTACATTCGGAAGGTCACCCATAAGTTCGGTGGGAATCTGAGCCTTCTCTCGTGTACAAGGTACACATGAGTATAGTACAGCGCGGACTAGAGAGCGAGCTCGTAAGATCCAAAATTTTTCTCGAAGGCGAGCCAGCGTTAATTGGGATCCAGCGTGCAGAGATCGTCGGTGGGTGTCCATTATGATAATCCTGACCAAGGGATGGTCTTTGAGGACAATCGGATTGCGAATGTCGTCGGTCAAGGTGGCATTCCGAAGCCGGCCACCAAGTCGAATCATTTGGTTATCGTCGAGATATGGATTCAATGACAGCAATGAGCTGGTCTTCTTTATTGGAGCCGCTTTGCCGAGTGACGAAATCTCGCACGGGAAAATTTCGGCTTGAATGTGACGAATCCAAAAGGCTTCCGCGGACTTAATCTCAGTCGGAGTTAAATAGATTCGAGCACTAGGTTGTCGTATCGTCGTGTTGGTATCGGTATTTCGAGCGCGGGAATTCGTTACGAATCGATAGATGTAGGCTGTTATTCGAAGGAGCTTGCTCCATGATGAATAACGCTGTGATAGATCCCACGGTGCGACAACGGTGGCATTTAGAGATTGGTTTTCGCGTTGTTCGCTGAGCGCGCGGGGGTCGAAATCCGATGGAGAGCTAGGCCAATGCTCGGAAGATTGAGTAAGCCAATCGGGTCCTGACCACCAATGAATATTTGTGGCAAGATCGTTTGGAGAAATGCCGCGCGACGCACAGTCGGCAGGATTGTCTTTAGTCGGTATGTGACGCCATGGAGTTTCCGGTAGTAGAGTGTGAATCGCGGCGACTCTGTTGGCGATAAAGGTCTTCCATGTAGTGGAAGGTCGGCTCAACCAAGCAAGTGTGATTGTGGAATCGGTCCAACAAGAAACTTTTGTCTCCTGAAAGTCGAGGGATTCGCGAATAAATTGGATGAGTCGTGCGAGTAACTGAGCGGCGGATAACTCAAGTCGCGGAACGCTAATTGTCTTGACGGGAGCGACTTTTGATTTTGCGGCTAGGAGATTGACCGAGACCATCCCGTTCATCTTGACAACGCGAAGGTACACCGCTGCAGCGGATGCCTTGGTTGATGCATCTGAGAATCCGTGCAATTCTCGATACTGTACTTGCTGACTGAGTTGAGTCCAGCGGGGAATCGTCACCTCTTCCAGTTGATGGAGATGAATGTGATAATGTTGCCAGGCTTCAAGCAGTTTCGATGGGACGACGTCGTCCCAATCACAGTTGGCTATCCAAAGGCGTTGCATCAAAATTTTTGCTCGAATAATCACGGGAGTTGCCCATCCGAGTGGATCGAAAAGCTTAGCGATGGCGGACAGGATTTTTCTTTTGGTATCGCCAGGCGGATCGGAAATTGTAACGATAAATTGGAAGATGTCGCGATCTGGTTTCCATGTGAGACCGAGAATTTTTAAGCTCTCATCTTCTCGTAACTCTCGGCCGTGAGCGAGACCGTGATCGGTAGCTTCGACATCGTCAAGGAGTTCGGACAGGTTGCTTGCCCATTTTCTAAGCACGAATCCACCTCTTTTTAGAAGGGAAGCAACCTGATCGCGCGTTTGACGAGCGATCGCCTTGTCGTCGGCACCGAAAATAAAGTCGTCGACGTACGTTTGACGATCGACTATGGGAGTCGCCAACGGAAATGAAGCACCCTCATCGATTGCGAGTTGGTTCAAAACCTTCAATGCCAAGTATGGAGCTGACGTCATGCCGTACGTTACGGTACAGAGACGATATTCTTCCACTGGAGATGATGGAGACGGCCGCCAAAAGATGCGCTGATAGTCACGATCTCGTGGATCGACGATAATTTGGCAATACATTTTTGCCACGTCGGCGGAGTAAATGTATCGAAATGAGCGCCAACGCAAAATAATTGAGGCAAGGTTGAAGTTTAGGACCCGGAAGCAAGTGATCGTTTAACGTCGTACCGTTGGAAGTTCGGCTTGATGCGTTAAAAACGATGCGGATTTGCGAAGTTGCGCTGTTAGCGCGGAATACTGCGTGGTGCGGGATGTACACGATTTGAGTGGAATTGTTTAATTTTTCGGGTTCTGAGACGCGTAGTATGTGTCCCAGATCAGAATATTCCTTTAAAAAGTTGTGATATTCTGTTGATTTCTTTGAATCCGTTTTAAGGCGGGTTTCGGTGCAAAGGTAATTTTGAAGTGCGGTATGTCGAGACTCTCCAATATTGATAGGGGGTCCGGTTTTGAATGGAAGTCTGACTATATAACGACCTTCGGAATTGCGAGAATGCGTCGAATGGAAGTGGTCGTCGCAAGCCTTTTCTTCTGGAGTTAATTTTTCGGAAGTGGGAACTTCCTCGATTTCCCAAAATCGTCGAAAAGTTTGGTCGAGATCATCCGTTACAGAACTGTGATGCACTCCGATCGACGGTTGAGATAGCGGTCGTGGATGCGCGGTAGGCCCGGAAATAATCCATCCTAAGACGGTATTCTGTGCAATCGGTTCGTTGGCGGCACCTTTGCGAAGACCATCGAGAATTAAGGAGCCGAAAAGATCAGCTCCTATTATGATTTCTATTGAATCTGACCCCGCGGGATCGGGATCCGCTAACGTGAGTCCAGTCAAATGCGGCCATTGTGTTTGAATGTCAAGACGATTCGGTGAATATTGAGTAAGAGATCTTAGAATTAACGCGGGGGTTGAATAAACCGGAGCATCCGCGTTACTGGGAGTAATCGTTAGGTTAGCGGCGTGTCGAACGCTAGTCTGTGTCTCGCCGATACCTGTTACCTTGACAGCGGTTTTCAATTTCGGTCTTAAAGACTGTACTAAATTCTCAGTAATGAAGGATGTCGCTGATCCTTGATCAATGAGCGCTCGTGCCCATTGAGATCGTCCGTGCGTTGAATGTACGCGAACGCGAGCAGTTGCAAGCAGAATTTGATGCGCTGGTCTAGCTTTCGCAACGATATGCGAGGAAATGTCAGTAGTTGACGCGATGGGAGTCGTTGCCGCGGGGAGCGGTGACGCGTGAACAGCTGATTTCGGGGCGTCGGAAAAGTGTAAAAGCGTGTGATGCTTTTTATGGCACTCTTTACACGAGCGGGTACTTGTGCACTCTTTTGCTTGATGCTTCGAACTTAAACAATTAAGGCAGCGTTTGCCATTACGAATTATTTCGTATCGCTGTGTCGGAGTTTTTGCGAGAAACGCGGAACATTGATACAATAGATGATTCGAGTCGCACACAGGACACGGAAGTTTGGTAGCGCTCGTGGTATGTGAGGCGGTCGCCCGGTGTTTTGATTTCGCAGTTGATTTATCGCTCTGTTTATCGGACGTCGGAGCGATGGGTACAAGAGCGTCGAGGGCTCGGATACGAGAATCTAAAAACGCGCTAATTTCGGCAAATGTAGGATACGCAAGAGTTTTACCCAACTTAATTTCCCACGCTTCGCGCGAGGATTTATCGAGTTTTTGCGTTGCGAGATAAACGAAGATATCGCTCCAACGGTCGACCGGACGCGACAAATTCTTTAACGCGGCAATCGCGGCAGTTAGTTGGTTCTGTAGAGCTCGAAGTTCGGTTGCTGATTTCGCAGTGACATTGGGCAATGTAAATAGGCGATGTATGTATGCGTTGATCAACCGACGCTCGTTTTCGAAATTGGACGAAAGAGTCGTCCACGCTACCTTAAAGTTGTCGGACGTAACAGTTAAATGTTCGATCGCTGTGAGCGCGTCGCCTTTGAGACACGAAAATAAATGATGCAGTTTTTGTACGATTGACAGGCTTTTTTCTTCGATGATCATCGACTTGAAACGGTCGCGGAAGCTCTCCCATTTATCGAACGATCCATCGAAGGTCGGCAGCGAGATTTTCGGTAAATTTGGTGGAGTATGAGACGTACATTCGCGCGAATGACTTACGTTAGCCGAGGTGGAAGGGGAGGACGGGGAAAGGTCTTGAAAAACCTCTGCGAAATAGTCCAACGCTGAATCGTAGGCGTCTTGGCACTCGTCAAACTCGTGATTCGCCAAATATGATGTACTGGCCCTCTCCGTTTCATCTGTGGCAGCGAGTAATTTGGCATCCAATTTACGGCATTGGTTGAACCTCGTCTCCAAAGTCTCTAGGCGTTTTTTAGTCACGGCGTAGGTCATCTTAGCTTGACCCAACTTTTTAAAATTGGATACGGCATGAGTCACGGATTTCATTAGTGACACCTGCTCGTACATCAATTCGTCGAAGGAGTCCATTTTGCACTGATTGTAGGGGTTGTTTTGCACAACTACGCGGAACGATGATTAACTCGCGATCGAATGCGTAGCACTCATTTGTGTTAACAGTCAAAGGGCAACAACCTCAATCCCGATCCGGCTCGAAGGACCAGAATGTTTGGGAATGCGCTAGGTTGATTGAATTTTAATCGGGAATGGAGGGGAGGAAGGGACTTGACTGTAAAACTACCGTTGAGAACCACGTAAACTTTATTACACTTAACAGCTGAGTTTGAGGTCGGAACGGTGGCGTAAAATGAAACGGAACGGTCGGAAATCTTCACGCTTGATCGTCACAGCTGTGCGCGAACCGCGACGGAAATCTTCTTCTGGAACTCGATGTGAGTTCCTAACACGACGGAAATCTTGTCGCGACGGAGATATCGTGAACTCGCAGCGATCAAGCTCCGCTCGCGAACGCGCGATCCACCGTTCCCTCGATATATTGTCTGGCTGAGCCTTCGGTCAAAGGAGAAGGTCGGATCACGTGGCTGGTACGTGCTGAACTCACGGCCGAAAAGAGTCGCGACGTCGACAATAATTCGCGAGGCGGACCGATAATACCGCTGGCGCGATCCGGTACAATACTTGCCGATGATCGGCGGAAAGGAGTCTCTGTCGAAGCTCAACGAAGTTTATCTTCAACGCGACGCTCGAATCTCACTAACTAGAAGGTATGCGTCGTCACCAAAGGCCGGATTCAGACTTTTAGCCTAAAGGATCTATCGGCACGGATCCGCTTAAACGGGGGGTGCGCGACAGATCCAAATTGGCACACAGCGCACTCGAGCAACGAAGACGGCCGCGAATGAGAAGTATTGAGGTGCGTGACAAGAACCGAAAGCGCGCGGTTTAACGCGTCTCGGAGGCGTTCCAGATTTTTTTTTGTATGTTCCGAAACAGAGATAAAAAAGGGAAAATAACAGATAGGATGGTATCAGGCCCTTCAGACGGGAATTTCGAAATACAAACTTCACAACTCGTAATCTTAACGATAAAGTCACTGAAGGAAATGATACCCAAAAACAAATATCAACCGCGACAAGAAGGCGACAACGACTTAGTTTACATTGTTACTAGTCGGTAACCGTTGAGAGATGAAAAAGGGAAAATAACAGATAGGATGGTATCAGGCCCTTCAGACGGGAATTTCGAAATACAAACTTCACAACCTGTAATCTTAACGATAAAGTCACTGAAGAAAATGATACCCAAAAACAAATATCAAACGCGGCAAGAAGGCGACAACGACTTAGTGGTCAGAAACAATTCCATGACCCCCCCCCCCCCCCCCAAATAACCCACCAATGAAGAACTAAAATCCCAAAAATCGTTCCACATCCCATGACCAAGATCCACCCCTAAAAATTTGTATATAAGTCGGGTCGTTGCTGGCTCGGCCTCTCTTTTTGGCTGCTCTTGATTCCGCCAGTGCGCTTCTGTCAGTTCACGTCGTGGTTTCAAATTGTAATTCCGAAATTACTTTGTATAAATAAAATCTGTGCGCGAAATTGGCCGATGGACTACCAAGCTGACCCAGCCGCAACCAGACGCCAGATGCAATCCACCAACCTCTTTATCAATAAGTATTTAGTAAGCTACATCATCTCTTTTCCTTTCTTTTATTTATATTTTTCGGCTCGACGACTCCCTTTCCCCTTATTCTTTTTTTTTATTATTTCAACAAATTAAAGGGACCTCCGCTAGATTTTAAATATCTTGTCGTTGCTCCCTCGAGTCGACATCGAAGATACCCACCCATCAAGAATTCGTCTTGGGCCTCTGGATTCCGCTTTAGCGCGAATCCGATACGATTCGTTTTCTCTTCCAAAGATAAACCCTGAAGTTATCAGCTCGTATTATACTTAGTCATTATAACTAGCCAAGCTCCCTAACCGACATAAATATTTTAGTGGACTCACGGGATCCACAACCAAGACCCAGGTGGAAGTCGCGAGCCGTTGTAAAAAGAAAGAGGAACCGGAGGAATCGGCGCGCACGTCTATTAGCCGCTTTAAATAAAATTCCTCAAGCGGAACTCGATTCACCCGGTGTACAAAATCACGACTGCTTTTCTCCCTCTTCTCCCCTCTGCCCACGTCCCGACAGCCAAATCGAGGACCCTCTACCCTCTTCTTCCTCTCCTCAAAATTCTCCTCCCCATCCCTCCGAGGCTGAAGGCTCTCACCCCGAAGCCTTTGAAACCGACTACAGCCCTCCGTCCCCCGCCTCTTCGATCTCTAGTATAGAGATTGTCGAGGAATTCGAACCCCCTCCTCTCACTCGCCCGCGGATTAGATTCGAATAATTTTTCGAATTAATCCGCGAAATTCCTCCTTACACCCGTCCTCTCCCATCAGGGACCTTCACCGTAGGTCCTGAAATCATTATGATGTCTAGGATGTCTAGGAACATCCCAGAACTCCTCGACAGAGTTCGCACTGATTCCCCCGACCGACACATCCCAGTCTATATTCCCGGAGAAAAATATCCCAGACCCGTATTCATCCTGTTCCTCCAGGGCCTATTCCCTCCTTCTTCCACGATAATAACCACAGATAACACACTCACACATATTATATATATATACACTCACACCGCGAAATGTAAAGTCCGACAACACAAAGCAAATGTAACGCTCAGTTAAGTGTAATGTCTAATGTAATGTTTAGTTAACTATAATGCTTAGTTATTTATAATTCTAAATGTAATGTCTAGTACAAATTACCTGTTAAAATGTTTAGTTTAAAATCACCCTATTTATATAATTCTTGTCTAATGTAATGACTAGTAAAAATTATCTGTTCAAATATTTAGTTTAAAACTATCTTTTTATTTTTTACAAATCCTAACTGTAATGCTTAACCAAAATTATCTGTTATTTATAACTCTAAATATAATGCTATATTAAACTTATTTCTTTCTCATTTATTTTATTTTTAAAGACCTCACCCCCTTTGTTCCCCTTTGAGAGTGCACAAGGTCCGTCCCAGGGTAATAGGGATAAATTTCCTTGTCCCAAACTAGGACCTGCGATCGCACCGCTCTTGAAAAGAGTCAGAGTGTCCTTTCGGGACATTGTCCTTTTCAGAGCCTTTGAAAAGTGCGTTCGGCTCGATTCCACGCGCCTCCGAGCGTGTTAACGAGGTATTTTAAAATTACTTGTTACGTCATTCCATACCTCAATATCTGCCCGTAAAACTCTATTTCCTTTCTCAAATCTATCCCAAGAGGTTTTGACGTAACAATGGGATGCGTTGTATTTTTTCGTTCCAGCTTTCTATCCAAGTTTTCCATCCAAGTTCAGTGTGTCCACGATCCAAGTTTTAGTAATTTTTCCTAGATTCAAGAACTTGGACCAAGTTCTAGTATCGTGGACATAGGCCTTAAGAAGGAGGCTCGGAGTGAAGGTGAAGTGAAAAAGGGAGTGAAAGGAAGGGTAAGAGTGGAATGATCGGAAAGAAGAAGTGATGGAGAGAGGACCTGGAGAGGAATCGGTGGACATGGAGGCAGGAAGAAAAAACGAAAGTTGAAGGAAAAAAGAGAGTGGAAGGAAAAGTGAACTAACATGAGTTGGCAGTATGGAGCAAGGAGAGCCGGAATGGGGGGGGGGGGAGAGTGGATGAGAGAGGATCGACACAGAGGAGGAAGAGGATTGGACGGGAGAATCGAGAGATCGAGAGAGATCGAGGGGAGTGACGATGGCGAATCGAGAGATCGATGAACGGGAACGAAGGAGATTGGCTGAAGAGATCGAGTGATCGACTCAGTGGCGAGAGGAAATCGAAAGCGAGGAAAAATCGATGGAAGCCATGGAGGGGGGTGAAGACGTCGAACCAAGTAATCGATGGACACGTGCGAAGGCGAATAAGTAAGTGGAAGCGAGGAGAGAAAGAAAGGCGAGAAGCGGAAAGGCGGAAGAAGAGGAATCAGAGGAGAGGAGAAAGCGGAGGAAAGGAGGTAGGAGAAGAAAGAGGAGAGAGAGGAAGAAGGGGGACAACAAAGGAGTCATGACGGAGGAGGAATCTTTAGAGGCTAGAAACACATGCGTGTGGCGTAAAGCATACACGCATGTGTTAATGGATAAGGGGATAACGGTTTTTACATTGACAGATCTTATTCCATAGGAAGGAGAGAGAGAGGGCGAAGGAGCGGAGAGTAAAAGGAGAGGAGAGAGAAGAGGGAGAGAGCAGGATAGGGAAGAGACGAAGAGGAAAGAAGGAGGAAGAGAGGAGACGGGGAGTAGGAGGAGAAGCGCGGGAGAGAAGACAGAGAAAACGGAGAAGAGGAGGATGGAAGGAGGAGGCAACGGACGCGAAAGGAGGCAATGGATAGAGGAGTTGAGAGAGGTAGGAAGAGAGTTAACGGAGCAGTTAAGAAGGATGGAAGGAGGACTGAGAGAGATGAGAGAGGTACTGGAAAGAAAGGAAGAAAGAAAAAGAAGGGAAGAGAGATGGAAGAGGGAAAGACAGATGGAGGAAGAAAGGAGAAAAGAGAAGAAGCATCGGAGTGCAGATGGGAGAAGAGAGACGAGAAGGATAGAGAAGAGGAACAGAAAGGAGGGAGGCAAGAAATGGTGGAGAGAGGAGGGAGACGGAGAGGAAGACGGCCTGCGGAGAGAAAGAGGAGAAGGCGGAGGAGAGGAAAAGAGGAGAAGAAAGACGGAAGATGGAGAAACAGGGTGAGGGAGAAGAGAGAAGGAAAGAAGAGCGGTGTGTCGGGGAGCGAGGCGGAGAGAAGGGAAGATAGGAGCGAAGAGAGAGAAAAGAAAAGAAGGAAACAAGGGGCAGAGGAGAAACGGAAGAGAGAGAGAGAGAGAGAG